TTTTTTTTTCAAAAAAGAAAAAACCAACAACTTAACGAGACCAAACCATCAACAGGAAGGAAGTTGTCCTTCAGCAAAGGAACAAAGATATAGCACTTGTCTACAAAACACCCGTTTTTGACGTCAAAGAAAGCTAAAATGACACTTTTGCAAGTGTGACAGAATGACTGGCTATGTCCTATCTCGTTTAGAATGATATCATACACATTACCTATGTTACAGAATGTATGTAAGTTCGTTTGTTTTAAAGAATCCTTACTCGAGCAAAATTCTTTTTCTTGGATTCCAGGGCGGCTCGATGTTTCGTTGTTCAAGTTGGTCCCAGTTTAAGGACTGGAAGAACTCGTGTTTTCTAATCCACGGGTTTGATCCACCTTTGTAACCAATCCTTCTCAAGGGGTTCTTTTCCAAGAGCTAAAGAAAGAAAACCAAGTGTAAGATAATGTAATTCTAAGAGACATATGTATTGGCCAACGAGGTGTATTTGATGAGTGCGAATGTCTACAATATCTAGAATTGTGGCAGCTGAAAAAAGGCGTCAGTATTTGAAGTTATCTTTTCTAAAACGTAATGAAACCCTCGGTTGTTCAAACACAAACATAAACATATAGTTTAAAAGTGACTTTCAACTGATGGAATAAAAAGAAGTTGTCTTTATATGAGGAGGGAGAAATGCATGTCGGAACAGCTGTCATAAACTCAGCTCTCGCTGAATATATGTAATCATTAGTTTTGGAAAAGAATGTCTACCTACCTGTGTTAGCAAATTCCAAGCAATCTCAGACAATTTAGGTCTATATTCCACCTCGTCCATAACTATCGAGTTATAGAGGTCTCGGATGACTTTGTTATGAAACGGCTTCTGTTCATGAAAAAAACAAAACAAAAACAAAAACATCTAAGCGGGTATGGAGTTAAAGGCCTTGATTCATGGTTGCTGACGTCACATAGTGTCCTATTCCCAGTCCTCCGTGACCAAAGTGGTGTGAAAAATGATGGCGTTTATTCATGACTCTAAGGAATATTGCAAAGAATCATATTTTTTCCTTGTTATTCAGTTAAAATAAAAAAGACAAACAAACATAAAAAAAATGCATTGATTTTGCATCTAAAACAAATTACTGCTCAGTGCAATTGTTTTCGACTCAGTTGCTTAAGTTAAACGCGTCTTGAGTGCGAAACAAGTAACGATTGGTTTTGGCTTTAAAATTGGCGTGAATTTTTTTAAGTGCAAATTGCGACACTCAAATGAAAAGCGCCCAAGTAGCCGTACTGTACTCTAACGAGTGTAGGTAACCGTATTATAAGTATTCAAGTGTGGGGTAATTAATAGCAAAAGTGCTGTAAAATGAAGCGACTTCGATTTTACCTATGGACCACTCCTTGCAAGTGTAGATATTCTAATCCACAGATAATTTCAGCGATGTAGAATCTAAACCCATAAAGAATGAAAACATCACAGTAATGAGACTATTTGGTATTATTAGATCAGAGGCCACTGTAAATTACGGTTTCACTTTGAAAATATCGAGCATCAAATGTTTGTTACCTTCCAAGACACTTCATCTTAACTTTTTCTATCGTAAAACTAATTGTTTAAATACAGTTATTTCTCCTCGTATTTTATGCCAAAAAGGCTAAATATTCAAAATGCAGCTGTTCTACCTTTTTGCACACATTGGGAACCTATGATGATTGATAGCCTTTATCTCTACACCTATTAATTGCGGACCTGTGAACTCTAGATATGCAATTATATATTAACGACTCGATGACTGCATGGGGCCGCGAACGGCTTACATTTTCGATTTCATCCTACCTCGCTTGCAATTCGCTGAACAGTTTTTTGTGCAAATTGAAAACCTTCTGCAGGTCACCTGCGAGCATAAACTCCAATACCAAATAACGGCAACCCTGAAATGAGAATAGATTACAGGGAAATTTATCAGATAGGATACGGCCAATTATTGTTACAGTATTATGAAATGCAAGGTCGCCTTTAGCACGCCAGGGGTATTGCTAGAGAACAATAACCTCGGATACTCTCCACTTCTGGGTGTGGCACGTGACGTGCTTAGACCAATCGCACACGGGAAAGAAACATGTGGTGAATAATAAACAGATTTTAAGACAGCAACAGAAAGCAATCGCTGCAAGATCGTCTGATGATCATCAGGCTTTCAAACAAAGCTAAATTCTTTTTTTCCGTGAGTTACGCAGGATAACTCTTACTGTAATTACAGCCAAAGCAATACTCCCTCTTCCGGGAGAATTGGACCAGTGGGAAGTCTCAGACCTACCTCAAGGTGGGGGGGNTAAACGTCTGTTCATATAACTTATATACACTTGTCAAGTTTTAAGCCATCAATTGTTGCCCTGTGTTTTCAGTAGTCGTTACACTTTTTCTGTTCTTGAAACGCCGGGAAACTTAGGAAAACTTAGCTAATTGGTCAAGTGGTATTCGATTTTCACATACCTCATAAAAGAACTCTCCACAAAGTGCGGACAGAAAAAGATTCCAAGTGGAATTACCGAGCTCCAAGATTTTTCTCTCGATCTCGTAACTGCCTGGATCAAATCTTTTTAATTCCTTGACGGCATAATCCATTTTGGTGTCATTCCGTCGATACAGACTAACCTAAATAACAGGAGTAAAATGAATGCGTTACTGTATTACCATGGTCCACCTTGGAGGTGCTTTATATAACTTCAACCCACACATACAATACTAATTCTCTGAAATGTCTAATTTTCACATAATGCTCGCTCGAAAGTAGACGAAAATCTGTTCGATAATCACAATATATATATATATATATATATATATATATATATATATATATATATATATATATATATATGTTTCAGAATAGTTAGCTCTATTTGTTTCTGTCAGAAGTGAAACTTCTACAAGCAAACGCAACAAATTTCTAATTTTGTGGATTGGGGATTGGAAATTCCTGATGAACTGTAATCTATACATTTCCCCACCTTTCCAAAAGCTCCTTCTCCAAGGACTTTAACCTCGGTGCAGTTGGATAAATTGTTGAGCCGCTGAGCATGCACTTCCTTTCGACGAACTTTATTTTCCTCACAGTACTCATGTTGTTCTGTGTTCTTTCGTTTCCTTGTCCTTGTCTGAACAAAAAAAAAAGGCACAAGAGAAAAGCATAACTAACAACTTCAAGACCTTAAAATCTCTGCGCTTAATTTTCACTGTTATTTTCGTGTTAGCGGTATCTGAAGCATTAGCGCGAGATATCTATCTGGCGGCTGACCATGAAGTCAAATGAAGAAAAATGTCCGCGTGCCTCACAGCCGACTTCGTTGACCATTAGTCTCCTCTCTGGTTGGCCAGAAAAATGCGGGAAGCCACTGAAAGCCGCGTTTTCCCGCTGTTTTCTTCTATTACCTCCAGTTCAAATGAAAACTTTTTTTATTTAAAAGATACTCATTGGCAAGAAGGCAGGCTTTTATTTATTGGGGCGTTTAAAGAAAAGTCGCAGGATGTGGCCATATTTGACCTCCCTTTTGACATGACATGACATGACATGACATAGGATAAAAGTTGTACAAAGTCGTGGTGTCTTTGAACGCCTTTGACATAAGAGATCAAAGGTATGGAAAACCGTGGTGTCTTTGAACGCCTTTAACGCGCATCAAAGCTGGAGTCAAAGTTATTGACATGTTTGACCTCGCTTTTGACAGGGATCAAATGTATGGAAAATCCATAAGATCTTTGATTCCTCCTTTGACGTGCGTCAAAGGTGGAGTCAAAGTTAATATCACATTTGCCCTCTTCTTTGTCAAAGTATGTATGTATGTATGTAAAGATCAAATGTATCGGCAAAGCCATGATATATTTGACACACATTTGACGCGCATCAAAGTTTGGATCAAAGCTATGACCATATTTGACCTCGACTTTGATGAAGATCAAATATACAGTAAATCCAATTTTTCGTGCCGTGCCAAGCCCTGTCTGTGTCTATAGGAAAGATTTGTTCTGAAAATGCTAACTAACTGATGTAATTTATATGGACTGGTTTGGGGTCCACATTCTATTATTCCCTGATGCCCGGGTCCCTAATGGAAATACTCTATGCTTTCATCGGTAAACCGTTCCATACGCCGGGCGAGGGCCGAGTTTTGAGAACTTTATTCTGTAAATGATGCACATGATTTTCATTCTTACCTAATATATTCTCGTTCTTTTGTACAACTCGCATAAGACAGTTGTACAAAGGGTCCAGAACAGAAAAGCGGAACAGCACAACAAACTTAAGTGATGCTATCTCCTCCCTTATGAGATGATTCGATCGATTGTTGTCCTACCTGCCAATTCTGTTGTCGATCGTTTGTACAACTCTCATGAGAGAGCAGTTCACAGGATCGAGAACAGAAGTGTGGAAAACTTCGACAAAGTTACGCAAAGTTCTCTCCTCCCTTACAAGATGATTCGATCGATTTGTGTTTATGTCAGTAGTTGTCAAAAATCTAACCTAATATCCTGTGATTACAGAAATACACTAAAACCCTTTTACCACCTCTCATTGTTTAATATGTGAATTTGCTTGTTGTGTTACTAAGTTACTTTCTCACATGACAACTCTCAATTCCTATTAAGGTAATCAAGATATACAACTGTCAGGTTCTTCAAACTTACAGGACTTTGGTTGAGGGAAAAGCAGGTCAGTGCGCTGTCGACTGGGAGATGTGAAAGACTAGCATTGACCTACGTGGATTAGCAACGTACACCGCTGGTCATGTCACGTTGATAAGCTCTGGCTCACTTGTGAACCGCTGTGGTTTACTAACACCTTTCTCTTACTCAATCTCTTACCTTCTTGTCAACTGATATCTCCTCTTCCTTCACTGTATTGTCGCTGAAAACCGAAGGAAAAAGTCCATTTATTGAGTTGGTGTATTATGATTGGGTTTATCTTAGAAGAAAAACAGTTTTCTTTTTGCGAGAAGACTGGTCAAATTCGCCAGATATGTTGCTACTACTCCCGGGCGAGGAGGGGAAGGGGGAGGGGGTGGGGGGCGCTGCTGCAGGCATGCATGGCAGCTTTTGGCCTGGCTTTTTCTAAATACGTGGATAAACGCCTCGCGTGAAAATTAAAATACCGTACTTTTCAAAGCATACTTCGTATCTGGTAAACGCAAAACGCAGGCAATACCAGCGCTCTCTGCTCTAGTTTCTTTTCCATCGCGCCGTTTACACTCGCACCCAGTCTCAGGCGGCTCCAGGATGACGTTCGCTAACTTATTCAACCGATGGGATTCTGGGATGTTTCACGAAACAAAATTCTTTGATTGCGTAAATACTATGAACTTTCCTGCGTTTCGAATTTATTCTAAAAACGGCGTCAAAATTTGATAGGACGTGTCGGAGTCAGCGTTGCGTGCTATCTAACCTGTCTGGTAACTAAGCCTTGTTGATATTCATTTACTTATGCTTCCGAGTAAATGCGAATAAATGTTCCGCGCCATCTCGCCACGCGCGACCCTTTTGTTTACACTGTCGCCATGGACACGGTCCACAGATGGGACGAACCGATAAAACGCGTTTTCTTTCTGCTCGTAACGGCTGGTCTCAGTATATTTTGAAAACGCCGTTTTAAATATTGCTAAAACATCTCAAAAGTTGCTTTTTCTCGCGATCATATTAACGAAAAACGAAAGTCGTAGAACATTTTACAATACGCTGCTGCCAATAGAGAAAGCAGTTCACAGAGTTCAAATAATTTTTTTTCTCTTATTCGACATTAGCCTTACCTTTCATCACAACGATTCTTAGTAAAACGTCCAACGACATTGCTAACAGCCATGAACGCTAACCAACAGGTTACAAAAACCATTTTACAGTGTTGACAGCCGAAACTCCAGCCACAACCGAAAACCTGAATTTGTTCTGAAGACTGAAGTGTGTGTGTCATAATAAAAGTTGCGCTCTGCGCGCGCGATAGAATGTGGTGTTACTAGTTTGGTTCTGGAGACCATTTTATAGAAGAGGACAGAAGAGAGGGAAAACCATAGCGAGAGAGGCTGAGGACTCAAAGATCTCGCTGTCCATTTGGCATGAAAGTCTTGCACGCTTTCCCCGTCAACCTTTATGAACCCGCATTGTAAATGTTCAGTCAGTGAGATTGGTAAAGGCCCGCAAATGATCCTGGGATTACAAATGATCCCCACAAATTCCTGGCCAAATTGGACCGCAAATGATACCAGGATAGAAAATGATAGATTCCCGCATATGATACCGAAAAAAGGTAGGCCTTGAATGCCTCGTACTCCATGAAAAGTCTACGGATTTATATACTTTTTAAAATTATCCTAAGTGAAGGAAAGTTAAGAGTCTCACGCATAAAAGCAATAATAAAAAACGGTTAACATAGTGCGAACAAAATTAACATGTGACTATAAATTTTTCGTTCAGAAAAAGCACCGCAAAAACACACATAAAATATATGTTATTTACCGGCTGGGAGGTCCATATAGTGAAAAACTGTGACCGAGATCTTGAAAATGCTCCCCTCGGCCTGCGGTACGGACCGACGCTAAGCCGGAAAATGACATATTTATTTTTTTCCTGCGGTAAATTGGCTTACAAGTCGGTTTGTTTACACAACTTTGTTACTGAACTGGCTTACGTTCCGTCCACAAACCATTGTAAAAAATCTAACGAGCGAAGGAGCGAGTAACTCAGATACTAGACAAAGAAAGATGTACTAAAGAACAGACTCATTTCGAACTACTTTATGTTGGTTGCATCTAGTTGACCAGTTAAGTTCTCCAAAATTGTTTTTCCGTTGTGAAATGTGGTGAAAAGATTGAAGTTGTACTAGAAAACAATTGCTATCAGTCGATGCGAGTCGCTCGAAATCAAACTTTTCTACGGTAAATTAAGTAGCAGAAAGCGAGGAGATCCGTTGAGTGTGTTCCACAGAAATTCTCTTAAATACAATATTGATCAGAGAGGCAAACTCGACTGCAGTGACTTTTTTTTGGCTTAAAATTATGCGGCGAGAGAAACACAGGATGACGCGCGATTACAGCGCCGAGCTACAAATAACCAAACAAACTCTCTCAGCTTCAAAATACATTATACTCAATTGAATTTACTTACTGTGACTTTCCTTGCCATTTAAAAGTGGACAGAGATAAACCTGCGTTGATTAATCGTCGATGGAAGTGTAAAAAGAGCAAAGGTTGACCATTACCGCTAGTACATGACAAACTGTGCTCTCTGAAAAACGCGCCATTTTGCGGGCCAAACGGGAAATGCGCGGGCTGAAAATGCATTTGCCGCCCTGATTCTGATTGGCTGCACAGATGTCAAACAACTTCGCTCGGCCAATGAGATCCTGAGAATACCATTTCAATGCTAGAGTTTTGGGCGAATTTTTGTGGATGAGTTTGCACTTGCTCACTTTGTGAGTTCTGCAGATATTTGTCGAAATGTTTCGCAGAAATTTACAGACCCCAGGTACACCAGTATGGCGGCTGGAAAATAGCATAGTGTAAACATCTGGAACTTACTTTGGCTATCTAAGCGACTGATTATCAGTACTGAACAAACAAGCATTTACATAAGCACTTTTCCTAATGCTCTAACTTCTAAAGAAGCTCAAAATCATTATATTAGTATATTTTTTTCAACAAAATCGATCGTAGCCTTGTGTCACGCATCCCCATAACCCTGAAATTCAAAATACTCTGGTTTCCAAACGTAGCACGCTATTGAGCTGTAAAATTGTAAACAGATGTAAATATATTCCCTCTTATGCCTGATGAAGATAAAAACTTTGGTGGGTCTTAGTTTTGGATTTAAGAAAGTGATGACGTCACGTAAAACGATCTATAGATTCAATGTGCCTGTGTATGATTTCTGCAAAGCTGCATGTATTTTGACCCGCCAGCCTTCGACAACAAGTAACTAAAGCCTGCGTCATCAGTATAGACTGTTTTGTAGCTCGTCAACGGCAAATGGCCCTGAGTTGTAGTAAGGAAACAAAACTTACGTGTAGCTCGGCAAATGGCCATGATGACTCTCAGATCAGGTGGTCAGAAAACAAATTTTCCTTTGGTTAAATCAGAATCACATTATTTGTGATCTTTCCCTCTTTCGATCCAAACCTGCTGAACATGTATCCCCTCTCCAGGGTACTTTATCTGCTGTTTCTACTCACAGCCCAGTATCTGTTAACTGGGAAATTCTCTTTCTAAGGATCTCTTATGAAAGGAAATTCAACCACTGCAGCTCCTCAGATTCCCGTGCATATTTTCTTTACTCCTTTCCCTTCTATCCCTTCCTGACCAAGGGTCCAGAGTGAGTTGTCATTTTCTCAACTCAGTTCCTCAGCATCGCAAAAAAGAAAATAAAAATAAATGAAATCCAACGCCTGTGCATGCAACGAACCGTCCTGTCAACTCAATTACTGGCAGCTGTTTCTCACGCTAACAGTGCTAACCGGCCTAAAAACAAAGCCATTGTTGTTATTGTTGATCATGCACTCCCGCAGTGATTTTACCAGGTCCTCTCTGATTGTAGCCAATCACATTGAGTTGTTTGAAAGCGAAACATTCTATAGTCTCGGCTGACATGTATAATATGCGAGTTGGCATAAAATGGACAATTCACGCGGGCTTTCAAAATGCCTGAGTCAAATTTACGTACCTAAAGCTTGTCAGAAGGTTTGCAAGGCCGTAAGAAAACTCAGTGACCCTCTCTGGATTAGGGTAAACGACTCTGATTATCACAGGGTAAGAGCTAACTTTGATCATTATGCTTTGCTGCTGATTAACCCAACGTAATACTATTGTGCGACGAAACAGTTGAAAAAGTCCTATATTATTTTGTATTTCTTACCTTAACCAAGTCTCGGTGCGTGTTTGCTAATTACAGTGTTGGCACTTAGCAACCATGCAGTTCAAGAGCGCGCAACGAAACTGCTTAAATTCAGTAAACTCTAGCTCGGGTTGAATTTCGCAAAGAGACGACCGTGAACAAATTATTTCTCTGCACGCGGAAATATAACGAGAAACAGATGAACCTCTTCGATAGTGCGGAGATGTTAACTGGATAAACTAACACGGCTTTTTAAGTTCAACCGCTTGTTTAAGAGAAATCTTCAAGCGTTCATCTTTCCATGGATCGGATCTTCTTCTCGCGAAGTAGTTTGACAGGTTTGAGGAGTAAAAAAGACGGCAGTGTTGGCGTTTAAATTTCCATTTTGTTAGGTGTGATATTTTCTCACGTAACCCATTGATATTTGTCCTGCTTTCACTCTTGGTTAAATAAAACATTTTTTTCACATATGGTTTCTACTAACGATTTTGATTTTTCTGAAAGTATAAAACAGTTCGGGTCTTCCTAAGAAATGTTTCCCGCTTCTTTGATACGCACTCAGTTTAGTTTCCACTGGCTCTCTCATCTATGTATATCGCTGCGCCGACGGAATTGCAAAACACTGAGAAGTTTCACTTCTCAGTGAAAATTAAACGCAGCCGGAGGAATTTAAAAGCGCAACAATCACCGGTTATTTTGGATTTGAGTTTGAGGAAAACTCGGTCACGCAAATCACATGATAATCGTGTCTACATCGTTTTCGAAAGTACCGTTGTAAAATGTTTTTCGTCCGCGCTAAATGGCAAAGCCGGCGTTTCAAAATCCTCCGTCTTGAAGAGCGTTTTCGAAAAGCCCCGTTTTCGTGACGGATTAGTGTGGACGGTAGGCCTAACCGTAGAAATAAAGCTGCGTTTTTGTGACGGATTAGTGTGGACGGTAGGCCTAACCGTAGAAATAAAGCTGCGTTTTCAAATTTCTCCTGCGTAATACGGACGCTCCCTTGCCTTATTACAAAGCCTGCTCGCCGTCATAAAGACCAATCAAAAGGGAGCTTCTTTTGATTGAATTTTCAAGTCTCTGAACATGCAATGACAGCTACCTCGTCCCCAGTCGCCATCGGGCAAAAAATAAAATTAGGCTGTTAAGGAGGAAGCAATAACAACATAGAAGACGAAACAAGGTCTCTATTTTTAACCGCCAAGTTTGTCCACAGAAATTGTTCAACAACATGACAGGGCGATTCAAAGTTTTCTTATGTGCATGTTCCCTCTCTAATACCTTCATCGTATCTTTCGCCTTTCAATTTTGCCAAGTTGTTTTATTGGGCCTATTCAACAGACCCATCCAAACCGCGTACTTTCAAATTATATTTAAGGAAATAATTTGATTACTTCACTGCAAACTAACCAACTAGAAGTAGAGCCCAAGTACAATCTAGCTCCCGAATAATTCGTACCATGTAAACTAGAAACACATTTTCGGCACCTGAATGATGGCATATTAGCGAACCCTCATCACAAACAAATTGGGAAATTAGCACCCAATAAGCCCCTCTTGAACAAACTCAATCTGTTATCTTCGACACGTTGTCAGTGAAACAATGCGTGTAATATCCTTGAAAACAAACACGTTCTTGGTGCTTTAATTAAAACAAGAAACCACTCAGTCACCGGACTTAAACGCCTTCGTCTACTGACAACAAACAGTCTAAAATGATCCGTAAAGTGCCACGTTCAATTAGAGAAAGAATGGAGAAGTTTGTTCGGGCAGACGGCATCTTTTGTTAGCGTCGAGAAGAAAGATGAACTAGCAAATTGGAATAAAGGATGCCCCACGCGGTTTAAACAGACACCAGATAGTTGAGATCTTTGAAAAGTGCTTAGGTTCAGCTAAAAGCCACTTCAGACTCTCAAAACAGTTATGATATCGCAATAAAGCGAACGTCCGCAGGATATCGCGCCAAACAAGTGGAAAAACAACAAGGTGAGAGTGTAAACAGTGGCTAAACTTGAGATAATCGTGGCCGCATTTTAAGTCTACCGCAATTTGTTAAGTTATTGAAGAAGTTATAAGTTCAGTTTAATACTCGGCAGTCTACTCTCGCTTGAGATACCATTCAATACAACCAGCATATGCTTTTCACGAGCAGCTCGCTGTGTCCTCGCAGCATAATATTCTAGCGTGTTTACCTAGAACAATTAGTAACTAAGCAGTTTGACTCGATTCCAGAGGCGGAAATTCATATTGGAATATTGGAAATCTATCTCTTTATCACATTCCAGTTATTGCAGTATCGAATTACTTTATCAAGTTTTTATATTAAAGTTTTTGATGCTTTGTAAGGTGTTCTGTGACTAACAAGTTCTTGTCAGGCTTTTTTAAAAACTTGACAAGAAGACTTGACAAGAGAGGCTGACAGTTTGCAATTTGTTTTGTGAGCGGTGCAAGCACAGAAGCATACTTCTGTCAATTTATCCACAAATTCTATACATACCGAGCACACTCCCCGAAGCTGAGAAAAAAGTGAGAGGTCAGAAATGACGTTCGCTTCTCGTCTGAATGCTTTAAACCTGTACATAACTCTCAATGAAACCCCACATATTATTATAATGGGTGCGCTTGCAATATTTTACCAGTCGTGATGAACTCCTTTGATTATGTTTTTTGTAGGCTAAGCCTTGGAAACAATCATCGTATAATTTTGATAATAAACCCTAGCTTGTACTTGCTAAACAGGCTTTCTGCTGGGTTTACTTTGGGAGGTTTTTCTTTTATCGGTTTTCTTTTATTTGAAAATGGTCAAATTTGAGCCAACAACACCCAACATGTCGCAACACATCGCAACACGGTTGCGATGTGTTGCGACATGTTGCGACATGTGTTGCGATGTGTTGCCAAACGCACGCAACATGTTGCGCCCAAAAATGTTGCGATATGTTGCGTTGACATGTTGCGATCGTTTGGCCGGGGCTTTATATGGCAAACAAGAACAATTTAATTCTTTTAATGTAACTGGTTTGTACTAACTGACATTGTGCTTGTGAACGGCGATGAGCTGAACTTAATTCTGCCAAAGTTTGCTCGGCCTCTTTACTTTTTTGCTCATCAGGCTTTTTGGTTCTTCGACAAATAAATGTTGTTGGAAGAAACTAGTCAATATTTTTGTAACTTTTTCACCGCAAAACATTACCGGTTTAGATGCCGGTCTAGATGGAAAAATCTAGACCGCTTTCAATACCGATTTCAGCCAATCAAATTCGTAAATTCGGTAGTTCCCAAGTCCTTGTGAAACATAGCCATGTAATAAATTAGAATATTGCTTTTTCCGGCCGAGGCTGAATATTCTTACTTTTCTGCTTATGTTACCTTGAGAATATTCTTAGATTAAAAAATAGCTTTTTACTTAGATTGAAAAACAGCGTAGCAGTATTTAAAGCAGTATTGTTTTACAATTTAGTTTTTCGCCTTGTATTCACACAATCGACGGTATGATTACTTCACAACTTTGTATCTACGCTGAGCCCTCGGTGATCGTCATTGGTCAGTGAGGTTGCTAAGAAACGGCGTGCGCCCCATTACACGAGAACACTGAGCGGAGACTCCCTAAAGTAGAAAATCAAATGAAATGGCTGTTCCCCGTGGGAAATCATCGGTTTAGAAAGAAGAATACCTTGAGAACTATCGCTAATTTAATTCATTCATTCAGTCCTTCTCAGAACTTGATCTTAGAAGATTTCTTCAAATAAAGATCTAAAAGGTGACGTTTGCTAGCGACACGATTTTCGTTTCATTTACGATAATCTGCTCAAAATCATAGCACATATAAACGCGCCAATCATATCGTCGCTTGAGCCCGCCCCTCGCCAACTAACAGAGACTCATGAATTTGAAAGCTTTTCCGAAAGATGAAAGGGATAGAAAATTGTGAGCACTTGGGTAAAGATCTTTCAGTCAGTCGAATTTGTATGTATTTAATTTTAAAATCAGATGAGTTGGGCGCTTAAGGCTTGATACCTGTTACAAATCACTTGCACAAAATGATCTGCAAACGATTTAGAAAATCTCAGAAATCTGACCAATAGACTGTACATTTATTAAACGAAACACAGTACCCTTCTCTAACATACTGAAAATACTGATTCAAAACATACAAGAACTTTTATAGCACTCGATTTAGTATAAATGCCAGGTTGCCCTTTAAAGGTTTGGCACTCTCTTGCATTTTATCCAGACTTTGGAGTTATTCTTTCGCCAAAGATCTCAGACGTGACTAGACGGTTTCGTCGCAACGCGCTGTTCGTTCCATTACCGATAAACCCTTAAAAATCGTACCAAACAGAAATGCCAATCATGTTTCCACGTGACTCCGCCCTACGTCAATTAACGGAGGCTCGTAAATTGGAAAGGTTTGCCAATGTTAATATGTAAGCGTGGAGAGAATAAATTTGTCAGCAACAGAACATGGAACATCTCCACTCAAATTATGTACACATTGCTTGAAATCTGTAATTCGCAGAGATTCTTTTCTTTGGAAAATTCATTTGGAAATTACATCATGCGATCCACGGGATGTGAGGTACTTTCATAAGAATTGTTACTGCGAATATTTTGCATTTTATACCACAAAATAAATGTACTTGAACTTGTAAACCACAATACAGGCAAAATAAATAGTCGAAGAACATTCTAAACTTTAAAATCTACTCTTGTTCCTGGGTGTAACAAGCTCCTATAGTTTTGAAATTAAAATGACCCTGCGAGAAGTTGGCATCTAACATCAGTCCAGCACATGTGTACCTGTAGATGTTGATTTTTTATTTCTTATAGGGTTTTCTCATTAGTCTCATGCGGTAGAATTGTTTATTTAGTAAAATGAGGGTTATGTTTGTTTGGCTTTCTGAAGACAATCTGAATTATTATTGTTATAAGTACTGTAAACAAAGGTGTTCGTGCAGAACACGACAAACGTGAAAGAATAATTTTCGATCATCTACTCAAAGCCGGACGGAGAGGAAAAAGTTCGACTAAACTCAACTGGATACCGGATAGGTAAGCTTTACATGTTTTGTTATTTCTGAGAAAGAAATCTTAAAACGCTCTTAGAATCGTTTACCTAAAATTCTCACGGGATAATGTTCAACATTCAATCACTTCAAGTTGATTGATTCTTTGGTATAATAAACAAAATTTATTTTCCTTGCAAACGACGCTGTATTGCATGTAAGTTTATATTCAGTCGTAAAAAGCGTTTTTTTTTTTTTAAAAAATGTTTCTATTTCCTTAGGCGACTTCATAGATACAAAGGTTTTTTATTTTTCTTGGTGATTGGCAAGCTCGATTTCTGTGGAAAATTCAAAGCAAACTGGCCTCGCTCGATACTTACATTGCTACGGATCGAGTAAATCGGCCAAGATTCGAACTAACTTGAAGTCATTTGTCCAGCCTTAGCGATGTATGAAAACCCTTGAAATCCGGGGTCAGAGGTTTAGGGAAATTTGGCGTTTGCAGAACCTTCTATATTTCGATTTCCGCGTTGGCAATCACAGCCAGCGCTACAGGTAGATTATATTAGTCGTGAAACTGAATTCTTGGGTTTTCGTTGGGTTTGACTAGTTCTTTGAAAGGTTTGACACAGCTAAATATAATGATAAGGATCTTTTGTTTTCTTGACGAAAAGTATCTAACAATAAACTTTGCTTGTGCATGGTAAAGGTTTCAGCATCTGATTTTGGTTATTACTGCTTATAGCCAATTGTTATTAGTTTAGAAATAACGAAACTTAGAATGTGATTTTTGGTCATGTTGGTTATTTAGAGTAGGTGACATCCTCATGCTACGAAAAAACTATTGTTTTATAATCGGTTTCCTCTTTCTTTTCTCAAATATAGTTAGTTGATTCATTCTGATCTAAACAAATGCGAGGCGAAGAATTTAATTTAACAACTGCAAATTGAATTTTTTTTGTTAAAAATCCATTGTAATGTTCAAAACTGTCAAGCTAAATACAACCCGTTGTTTTCCAACTCTTTTCCAATTTAGATTGAAATGAAAACGATTGGGGTTGTCAAAATTTGCATCTGTAAAAAACAATATGAACGCGACAAATTCTAGAGAGAATCAATATCACTTCGAGAGCAAAATAAGCAAGCTTTTGTAATGTCAAATCAGAACGCTTGCTTTTACAACACAGCTTAAATGAATTATTAGCACAATAAAGAGGTATTGACCGATATCGACACCTCAGAATATCGCTGAGGAGCGCAAATTGACAGAAATTCCAAATGATGTCCTCGAAACAATAGTGATTAGCTGGCTTACCAGTTTTCCAACAGGTTGTGTCAACGTTATCCTTTTCCAAAACGTGCCAAAATAAGAAATTTAAATTTTTAATATCTATTTAAACGAGCTGGTTTGGATTAACAGCAAAGGATTGTTTCGCGAGTTAAGATGGATACTTGACGCTTTTAAGCCATAAGAAAAACACGTTTATATTCTCTCCTACTGTGATTCTCCATTTGAAATGATATGTACGTACGTCGATTCAAACGAAGGGAAGACCAAAGCAGTTATTGGCCGGTCACAGTCCCTGCATGTCATTATTTCCCAACAAAAGTTCAAACTCTTCTGTTTGAAAAGACATTCACTACTTCATCTTGCTTAGGAAAGAGCTGACGAGGGACCTGTTCAAAGGAGATAGTAAGTTGTGTAAAATTCTGTAAAAATGCTTAGAATTTTGCCATTTGTACATGTCAGTGTTACAGATGATATGACGCTTTTTAGAAGCTGGCGTTTCGGACAGATATAAGACTTTCATATAAGCGGGGAATATATTTTAACGCGAAAAGCCTTACAAACGCGAATTATATGCGTTCAGCTTCTAAAGATATGGAGATAATCATTTTTTAGTGATTTCATTCACAAGGCACACGTCAGATGTCATGCACACAATTTCAGTCATACTTTACGCTAACAGCAACGGTACGCGGTTTTCTTGAACTTAACACAGTTCGCCGAGTGACCGAGAAAATCCATAGACAACTTTGATATAATTCGTATGCTAGGTTGCTTGAAGACGTTGAATTTTCTTTCTAGGGTACAAGTTACAATTAGTAAACAGAATTTATCTGAACTGACGTCTCTGTTCTCCCAGTCTGGGGGACATCTCCATCGCCAATTTAAAGTAGGTTAAGTGATATAATCTAAACACGAGCACCAGGATGCATACCTATTTTTATTGACCAACCGTGAGGTCCAGATGTAACACTGAAATATATATTGTTCTTGTTCTTTTTTTGTTCATGCGCGGAGCGTGCACGTACAGTCGAACTGAAAACCACTGGAATAGTTAGACAAATTAATTAGACATGATTCGATTCCCCTGGACTCTGCATGGAGCAAAAGAGAAAAAAAGATTACAACGATTCTTCCCGCCAGGACCACAATAGGGAGAGAAATAAATAGTTTAATTACAGCTGCTTTGGCAACTTCCAGCTGATCTCTTGTCATTTCTTATCACAAAATTGTAATGTGAAAACATTTCTAGTAGAGGCCTTGTAAACAGACGGAAATCAGCACATAATGTACCAATTAAAGAGATCAAAGGATGGCAAATTAGAAGTTGTGTATTATTTCTTCCTCATTTGTTCTCCTTGGGGAGCAACGCGTTTCCAGGCAACGAAAAGGGAGGCAGAGGGGAGAGAGCCTGGGAAAGATGTTGCTTTTCAATTTGGATTTTGCTTTAAAACCGGAAGTAAAGAAACATTAGTTAATAGAGGCAGTCTGAGTCACGTGTTGCTTGTCATGTACAAAAGCACTAAGACTAATGGGGTCGGTAAATATCCTTAAGTAAATAATTTCTTGTTTTGTCCATTTTTTAGACTGTTTTCTCAGAACTTGACGGGAGAGCAGTGAATTGAACATGCCTCATCTTAAAGTGAATGTGAATGGAAAGAGGTACACTTTATCTGGCCTGACTCGGAGAACTTGCAGCAAACAGATCCTATGCGCATTGGCCAAAGTTGACGCTGAACTGCAAGCCACTCAAGCGTTCAGAAGCGAACTGCAAAAGGATACGGCATCAGGCTCTGGTCTTGAAGAACAATGCAGCAGACCAAGGAAAGCTCGAGAGTTGAAGAAAAAACTGAGGAGAGAGGAGAAATGCTCCACTCATAAGGAGGCAGAGGTGAAAGGAAAAAATGGAAAGAAAAGTACGGGCCGTAAAACGCGTTCGACAAATTTAAAAAAGAGCGTGGAATTGGACAGTAAAGGAATTCAAACTTCTTGTGGAATGCTTGAAGCATTAGAAACAGTTGCCGAGAGTCAACAAAGTTGTTTACCATCGCAACATGAGGAAAAGGACTTGAAAGGCGATGTCGTTGAGAAATGTTTACCGACCTCAGAGAATTTAGAGAGAAGTACTTGTGGACACGAAGCCAAACAAGCAGATAACAAGGGAGCTAGCGTTGAAGATCAGGCTAAAGATACTGACCACGATACAGGAATTAGCGAGTTACATTCAGACAGTTCTTTTGAGCTCAACCAAATGTTACACAAGACGGAAAAGAACGACGTTGGCGAGAGCTCGCAAGAGAAAAATATAAACCGCGTATCACCTGTTACAATAAAATGCGCGTCTACGAACACAGATCCCATGGAGCCAGTTGACACCACGGACCCGCGCATGCCAGAAAGTGAGACATCGAATTCCCTAGACGATGGTTTCATCGTGGCTCAGCTGATTGGCAGCGAAACCGACGTTGAAACAGACGACGAATGCACGTGCGTTTATATTGATTCAGGGTCGGAGGAACTTCGAGAGGAAATCGAAAAGGTTCGTGGTGACTTAAACTTAACAGAGGCGAAATTGATTGAGCAAAATAAAACAATCGAGACCTTGAATTGTTTAATTGGCGCAGAAGAGATCAACCTGACGGAATTTTCCATAACTGCTGACGTCACTGCTGACGTAAACAAACGAATCGACGAACTCAAACAATCGATAAAATTTAGTAATCAGTTGTACGATTATCAAAAGCTGGAGACGGAAGCTAATGCACTGGAACTAGACAGGGTTGAATCCCAAATAAGGAGAAAGAGATGGCACGTAGAGTCCCTTTTGAAAGAACTGCACAGCGCGCGGAAAAACTCTCCCAAGGGGGTTGGACAGGGGAGGAGTGTTGACTACTCGAGGGAGGGTACTCTAGTTTAAGACATTGACAGCATTTTGATATCAGTATTCAATTTTGTTACAGTTACATTTATAGTCACCCCCAAGTTTCGTTTTCAAGTTAGGTGTCTTTGAGCGAAAATATCACTGGCATTTAATAATCTTTATTCACTGTTCAAGTTTATTCCACCATTTGGTGACATCTGTCGGTCCCTAGCAGAAAAAGAAGCAAACTCTTCTAAAAAAGATCATAAAATAGAATACACAAGAACACTAGTGTATATTGAGATCATGACATATAGTTACAATGCGACCAGAATTAAGTACTCATTGTGCATTACATGAACTAAACTTTCTAGTGCTGTACGACCCATAAATAAACATTTTACAAGTTACTTGTCCCTGTACATGTCAGTACACGAACTAAGCCCTACGCGCGAGTCCGCATACCGAATAAAAACAAAAAACCATGGATATATGTTCATTTAGCGTCATATTACCGAAGTTGTTTCTCAGCGACGGAGGCGAAACATATAGTAGCGTGAAGTTATGAGAAGCTGCACCGGATGTAGGATGTTACGGCAGGATACAAGCCGAAATTCCATGTGCTTTCCATCTTTCCTTCATCGAGGTTCGTTATAATACTGAGATCAATTCACGGCTAATCTCTGTTATTACAGATTCATGCACCTCAAAGCTTTAGTTCTCTTTCAGTGAATCAGTTGTACACCTGCATAGTTATGTCAAAAATATTTATATATCTTTTCATTGCTTACTTTCTGAACAAATGCATACGCTGCAATTTTTCGTATAACACGGCCAGTAGAGGTTTAATGTTTACAGTTACCTTCCTAAAATGTGTCAGCTACCCTTGTGAAGACGCAATTGCTTTATGGTGAGCGCGCTGATCTCCGGATCGTGTGGTCCGGGTTCGAGCCCTGGCTGGAGACATTGTGTTGTGTTCTTGGGCAAGACACTTAACTCCCACAGTGCTTTTCTCCACTCAGTTGTATAAATGGGTACCGGTTAATTTAATGCTGGGGGTAACCCTGCAGTGGACTAGCATCCCATCCAGGGGGATGTAGAAATACTCCTTGTCGCTTCATGCTACTTTACCGTTACGTCACTCATAAAATCCTAATCCAGTAGGCGTGGGTGCATGCGCACAACTTTGGAGAAGAAGAAAGCGATCCCACTGTTGCAACGTTACGGGAAACTTGCGCGCAACGGTGTTTGTGGCCGGAGTAGCACGCAGTGGAATTTACACATTGTGCGCAATACTATATTGCGTGCCTGCATCTTAAAGATTTTCCTAAAAATGGCATCTTGAAAACATTCGTTGTGTTTCATTAAGTCTCTATGGAAACATGGTATAAAATATATCTCTAGCTTTTATTTCTCAACAGAAACAGAAACATAAGTTTACCCCAAAAACGTCAGCGTTTCCAAAGTATGGGAACACAAGTAAAGGTTTGGAAAACTCTTAACACCGAAAGAAAGTTTATCCTAAGATTAGTGTCTCCACAGCGCCCTTTTAAACATCCACTTAACTCGCCGAACTCTATGAAAAGATAGAACCGTTATCTATTGATTTATTGACCGCTGAAACAAATGCTTGGCAAATTTGAATAACAAAAACAAAATTAACATCTTAAAATTCCCATATAACCTTATGACTTTGGCATATCTTTGCTTCGCGGGTACGAAATTGGCACGAAGAAATACAAGATCCGGAACAATTATCAGTTGCAAGCAGGAGGTAAGTAGGTTTTTCTGCTTGTCTTTCCTCGTAATTCAGGCAAACTGACATATCTTTTAAACAGCGTTGCAGCAGTATGGATGTCTGTTCAATCGAACCACATAAGCAGATAAGACGGTATCAAGCACCGATTTGAAATCATTGCAAATCAGTTATAATGTACACCTTGTTTGTTTACGTTGTAGCGTGAAAAACAAGTCTTTGTGCTTTTTTATTAGTACAAATTTGATAATCATCTTAAGTGAAAGCGTTTTCTGTTAAGAACGTTAAAACGTAAGTTCTCAGCTTCCAGTCTAAAGCCTTTTAAAAACTAAAATGTAAAAGCGCGAGATAAAACATAATTCTCGCGCTTTTACATTTTAGTTTTTAAAGGCTATAGACTGGAAGCCGAAAGCTAATGTTCTAAAATTCGTACCAGAAAACGCTTCTACTCAACATGATTTGTAATCCTGGTTACTTCTCTATTTTTAACAAATTCTATAACTAAATCTTCGTGACGAGATTCACGTTGTAATGTCAGGCGAGTTTACTAACTATAAACATTCGTTTGTCACAAATAACATCAGACAGCTTTCCGGCGAAACAAAGAACTGCACATAAAATTGTAGCTAATATTCTATTTAGTATTGATTTCAAGGAGACTTAGTTTTGCGATCGTTTGATTTCTAAGACTGATTTCAAGTTTTTATTTAAATTTTATACCCAAACACCCAGAAATTAATTTATAAAACAAGCGAACATTATATGAGAATAACCAAAATCTTCATGCAACTAGCTAGTGGATTTTGACTGTCCTGATGCACTATTAATTCTCAAAACTAAAAGGATACAAATGAATAGGAATAATGAGGAGAATTTATGTTTTGATAGCAACACTGTTGATAAGGATGGTTTGATCATCCTTTATTTTTTCACTCAGAAAAAAATATAGTACTAAAAAAATGAAGTAATCAGATGGGATGTTGTGAAAAAGGTGCCTATTTTTTTTTTTAATACCCGCCTTCGCGCTTTAATCGGCAGTAAATCCTTTTTTCACATAAACAAAGACATTTTTTCAAAGATCGTTCGTTTCCCAGATATTGAGATGGTAGAGCATTGAGAACCTTCTTTTGTTAGAAATGATTTGTTCTCCCACAAAATATTTATTTAAAAAACCAATTTTATTTAGCAAGTGGTAAACACACAGGAATTAAAGCCTCGTGCTGTATTAAGCCGATTTAAACAAATCAAAATTCTAGATCTAACAGAGGTAGAGGGGTATAAAACAAAAGAAACCTCAAACCTCGCTGTAAGATTTCTTTTGTTTTAACCATGTTAGAATGTTAATATGTCGAAACAGGGATATTTTTTGTATTTTTTTCATGTCATGGAACAAATACCAGGTTTTGGGAATGTACCAAAATTGAAACTGTGACAAGTTAATTTGCTTTCGTATGGTTAGCGTGGACGTAAAATCCCGGGGGGGGGGGCTCCCATGTAAAATAGACAGGGGTGCTCGTCGGAAATTTTGAAAAGACCCCCTAAGAGGAACCAAGCTCCTGTTTTGTGGGCGTAGCTTGAAATGTTTTTCACCCCTAAAAGCTACCAATTCTAAAACAACACATTATCTCTTATTGTTTCGCTTCAATACACTAATGGGTAACGCAAAAGCTCCCGCTGGGGACCTTTTGAGGATCAACACCCTAAGAGGTACCGCCTTTTGAAACCGCCTTTTTAATCCCTAAAGTGTACGATGAGCACCCCCGTCGTTTTATTACGGGAGGCCTCCTCCCCCGGGCGTGAAAAATGCAACAAAAACGATCTCCTACCGCGCATGTCTTGTGTTGACCTTCGTGAAAGCCAGCTGTTCACACAGAAGGTCGACGAACAAGTTTAAAAGGACTGGAATGGAGCCATTAACAAAGTCGCAAATTACAAGTAGAGTAGCTGATCAGTAGTTGTGGAAGCATGTCTGCCAATTACTGAAAAAAGCCCCTCTTAAAAGCACTTTAAAAACATCTCCGCCTTGAGGACAGAATAGTCAATTAAGCCATAGCATTAAATATTCATCAGTAAGGTTTGGCTAAGTGGTAAATGGCGCCAGGTTTAATTAACTTCTTGGCTTAACAACTTTATAAAAACTGTTTTGTTAGACCTTGTAAGAAAGTTAAGACGAAAGTCATCATCTTGCAGGTGTGACAACTTGCTAAGAGAATATCATAGGCTAGACAGTGTGTAAGAAAGTATTTTGTTTCATTGTTATGAAAATGCAAATAAATATCGTGTCGGAAAAACTTTTTGCAAAGCGAACGTCGAATCAACATTATCATTTCCAGACGTGAAAGTATACACGAGTACTTACTGCAGTTCACTTAGTTTTTATAATAAAAAGATGTGCTAGCAGATGGCAAGAACTGTACTGTCCTGTTGTCAATGTAAAAGGTATTGAAGTCGGGCAGCTCTTTTCACTGAAGATCGCGTTGAATATGTGCGGAAAGGGATTTATAATTCCAAAAACCGTATCAGATTGTAAAAAGTGAAAAATATGAAATATTTTGTGTCTCCAAGCTCTTCATTTCACGCCAAAAATGAGTCGCCTGCGTCCGGCAATTCACTCGTCCTTGGTCGAGTGTCGTCAGGTAGGAAAATAGTTGTGACTGTTGTTGTTCCTCGTCAAATTAAACCCAGAATTCTGGAGTGAAATATTAGAAGAGGCCAAAGAAACGTTAAAATTATCTTTAGTTTTGTTAGCTGCGAAGAAAAAGACTATTATCGAGTCGTTTCTATAGGACAGCTCGGTTTTGACTGCTCTTCGTACTGCGGGCGCAACCGTCGCATGCAATATGTTTACAATTGATCACCTTTTTAACCGAGATTGGTCAAAAACAGAACAAACAACCATCCAGCTTAAAATGGTTGCGCCTAGTCGATATGATCTTATAATAGTTATTTCTGATTTTCTAAATTATTAACACACAGCCAATCCGCCTCGTTCGTTTTACAACTTTCATTCAGCTTCTACTCTTTGCCCCGAAAGTTTTTTTTGTTGCAGTCCATGCTCCTGGCTAGAAAAATGACTTAAGGGCAAAGAAAATGATCGAGCTTGAGACCTCGGGGGAGAAATCTTAACTTGCCGCTTGCCGTACCCTTAGATCCCGGTTCCCGCCAACTAAGAAATCCCACTTCCCGCGCTCTCTTTTCCCGCTTTTCATAGAGATACCTCCCCAACCTTTGCCTCCAGGCTGTCTCTCCCCAGTCTCCCTCAAGGAGACCGAGTACCCGGGTTCGTTAATTGGCCTAACGCAAGCAAACAAATGAACGGGTGCGATATCGATAAACATGTATTTAGGTAAAGTTTTGGTGGCTGATTTAAGTTAAAGATAAATTGCTAGAACAGCCGTGATGTCTTTAAGCTGACGAAAATGCTTCCATAAGAAGATTAACGGGTTTGATTAAAGGTTCTTTTATGACCTCAATTTCGCAAGACAATTCAAAATATGAGTTTAACGTCTGCCTGGCTAGGAAAACACTTGCGAGCTCTTCCGTTTCAAGCCTGACACGTGCTGCGAAGGCGGCAAAGTTAAAAATAAATTCGATGACCGGAGGGCCTCAGTAAGTCAGTGGAAACTTCCATTTGACTGGATCTATATCTTTTTTTAAGCTAACACAAGTTTGACAAGATCCAAAATCTAGGTTTACAGGCCGGGCATGGGTGCAAAATTTTGGTCAGTTAGTTTTCCTTTTCAGGCAGTAATCTCGTTCACCTTTTACCGGATCTGCTGTTTAGATTTAGATCTGCCATTCTCAAATATTCTCTCATTATATACAATTCAATTTCGTTATAATCATTTTCACTGCACAGTTAAAAACATTTTTTCCTTAATGTTTGTTAACTTTGTCGGCTTAAACTGACTTTTTATAGGTTCCATAATGATTTCGGATCCTCAAGGCAAATATTGATTAGTCTGACTAGCTAAACAATCTTTTGAATAATTTTGCGTCTGCACTGAAAGTAATTACTCCTCATCAAATTGCGTCTTGTTGTAAACAGTGAATACAAGTCGAAATTAAAAGTTATAGATTGTATTTCTTAAATGACAATTTTGAGACAATACACTGGCTTTAAATAAAGGCCAGTGACACTTGTGTAAAGAACTCGCTTAACAGATGAACGAGAAACGTTATTGTATTACACAACCACTTATTTACATAGTTTTCAATCCATCCCTAATGAATAAAGTCATTTTGCCTTCATCTTCTGATTTTGTCATTTACAATAATGCCTAAAGGAGGGATGTATGCTTCAAATAAAACGTACTGGATATTGAAATCGTGTTCGCAAACATCGGCACACAAAGAATATATTACATTAGTTTTGAACACATTAGAACGCACATGTTCTTTAATTTCCTCTAATACATAAACATACAAAAAGACTGCAATCGTACGTGTTAATAGGCAAGTCTTTTTGTTCAAACTGTACATAAAAGAATAACCCCTCTCCTCATTATATTACCCATTCACACGAGGCCGAAATTTTCTTTGAGCAATAAATATGACTTTTCTACCTTAACGAGAGTTTTTGTTACATGCAGTTCAACTTACTTGACAAAAGAGCCGTTTACTAGAGACATGACCTGCTAACGCTGCATTTACCCTTAGGATGAAAACTTCTACCTTTGGTTTTTCGTTGGTTAATTTACAATCTGATTAACTCCATTTAAAAACTAACTTCGCAAAACTCATTATTTTGCACCATAGTTCATATTAGTTCAGTCTACATTTGTCTAAATCTATTAATTCCAGAAAAGTTTCGTCTAAAAGGAAACATTTCGACTCACACTATAAACGATAAGTTTAAGATTTAATGCTCGGTTACAGAATTCCAAAAGATTCAATAAATGGATCCTGATCGATAAATCATGGGAATTTTGAAGCGCTTTGTTTTTTGTTTTCTTATTCCAACAACACAATCCCTTAGAAGTTTCAGTCGGGCCGAGGAGGCAAGTGTCTTAACAGATGCGTTTTCATTTACTCGGCCCTATTTTGTTCGGATCTGTTCGAAAGCTGTATGAAATACTTTCTAGTTCAGTTTGATTCACATTCTGGCACTTCAGTCCTTTCACCATGGCCTCTCGCACGTCCTTTCGAAGCAATCCGTACAGCAGTGGGTTGAACAGGGCGGTTCCACACGCTAACGCTTCAGCTACTTTCAAGGCCACGTCGAAGCTTGCTGTTGTTTCCCCGTAGGCAGTATGGTGCTCATAGATGGACAGGCTAAAATACGGAAGCCAAGTTACCACAAATGTACCCACAAGAAGAGCGATGATTTTCACCGTCTTCAGCTTCTTTAGGAAAGCACGGCTCGAGCTTCCACTTTGACCCTGCGGATTCGAAGCGTTGATCTGCCTCGCGTGTTTTCTCGCCACGTAGTAAATGTTAATGTTCACAATCAGGATACACAAACACGGCAGACCAAATGCGAAGGCGAATCGCAGATCCTCGTACAGGGTTTGAATTCGACGAGATTTGTTCTTAAATGCAAACTGCAGTAGTGCTTGGAACACTGATACGAGCCATAAAGAGGTTATGATGATTGTGGCGCGAAAACGGGTCAGGTACGCGTCATAGGTCAGTGGGAACGAAATCGATAGAAAACGCTCCAGCGTCACCGCGGCAAGGTTTAGGAGCGACGCGACGCCTAGTAAAGGGAATAACGTGTCTTTGACCGTGTCCTGGCCAGGGTGGTACAGGGACCAGATGTAAATCGGGACCAAGACGCTTGCCATGAAGAAGTCGGCCATTGCCAGACTCAAGACGAAGGCGTTCGTGATGGTCCATAGTCTTCGGACGCGACATATTGTACCGATCACGCACAGATTAATGGCCAATCCTAACACTGCGATGAGCACAAAGTATGTTAAAAGGATTGGGCGCTTGTAAGACGGTACAACTGTTGCCTCTGTTGTCCACTCGGGTGACGGATAGGTTGCCTTTCCTTCCAAGTATTTCACACAAAGCGAGTAATTTCCAAATAGCAAAGGTAATACGGATCTAGTCTCATTCACATCTAGCCCTTGCAATGCTGTAAAGTTAAACTGGGCATAGATGTGTTGGCAAGGTCGAAGTAACTTCTCCAACTGAGCGATTTGTGCAGCCATCTGCCACGGTCGAGTTCTAAAACCAGAAATATAAGGACATAAGCTCAAATGTTCTTTTCCCGTCGCATAAAAATTTTTCGAAAACCATTTTGGCCTTCATCGGTTGAACTGTTTTCCCGAGTTAAATATGTATATTACGTAGGTTCAAAACTAACCTAAAGAGAATTGCTTCGCCCTTTCCTGCTCAACACTAATTCAAAACCTAAGCACTAATATTGTGTGGTTCAAGATTACAATTTAATTCTTCTCGAGAACGCTTTGGATACCAAGACAACCGTGTACAGTGTATGAAGTTTGACCAAGATTTGTTTGACCACCTAGTGATATAGAAAGTGGTCTGTCCGTGTTACCTGCATTGCCTTTATCTCATTGGCTAAAAGTACAATAAGGAGATATTGGGCGGATGTCAATTCCTTTCAAAGCCAACATCGATTTGTCAGGAAGAATCGACACGGCATCTTTCTCGTAAATTTACACTATTCAGACATGGGCAACAGATAATCATTGCTGAGATTAAATTTCCTTTCTCGCTTTGTATAAGGACAAATTAGTTTCAGCCTCTCCGCTGTCAAAAGGCATTAATAACTTTCTTTTTTATCTCGTTCACCCGTTCGAAAATGGCCAATATATTAATCATTCCAGTTGTTATTTAGATTTCAAAGTGACAGTTGTTTTCGTTTTCTTGGCGACCACACCAAAACTTCAATCTCACAGTTTGCATTAGTGTTCAACTAAAAGTGACATAAAAGGTGCAAACCTTTGCCAGAAAAAAATAAATTTTGTAACCTCGTACTTAATTGAAAGAAATTCAACAATGCTAGGCACAAGGCGCGTACCATAGATTTCGGCTCACGGGAAAATAATTTTGTCAGAAAAGGTGTGATCCAAGGTGGTCAAATTCGACAGAATTTAATGATTTTATTTGCTGAAGATATCCGCCGGCCTACACCTTTCCTTGAATGTTAAGTAACATTAAGAAAGATTAAGTGGCGGAAAGCTAACATGGCTGAATTTCATTCAGTTTTTTTTGGGTTAGTTTCTTACAAAATCTAGCTCTATTCAACCCAGTAAAAAAGCGAAATGATTATTTTCTAGCCCTACTTGGCATAAATAATTTCGGAAAAAAGTAGGCAAATAGCATGCGACGAATTTTGTTCTGCGTTTTTGAAATGAAATAATTGTTATTTAAAAAGGGTAGGCTGAACAAATAGCCTCTGTGAGTCTTGAGTTTGGCTGCCAGGCGGTTTTACTACAAAGCTATCAAGTTCAGAATGTATTTTAAAATACGTGGTGGAAAAATGGAAATGACGTTTTTACAGTGACGTTGGCTGTTTAATTGAATAGAAATATTCGGCGGCACTCTTAAGGATCAATACGAAAACCTCCAAGGTTTAAAGCTCTTTTTCTCCTAATAAAATATGCATTGAACCTTCTTTAAGGCTTTGTGTGCGAAACTCGTGATGAAGTCATACACTATATTTCTCGCGATGATAAATAAAGCACGCGAAAACGGCTTTCATATAAGTCTATCGTGAGTTTCAAATTTTGCAGCAAATTTTGGCTCTGCTCAAACCTTAGGGTTATATAGGCCATTTCCCGGGTTTTATATATTTTCGGATTGTATCAAAAGATTCTACGCTGAAAAATTGTGGTTAGAGAGGAAAAGATAACTCGAAGGAAAACGAATAAAAAAAACGATATTCAAATTAAGGTCTATGTACATGGCTCTTAACACAACAGCCCCCTACTTGAGCGACACTTGTACCTATGGCTAATGCTGTACTTTACAATTCTAGCAAGGTAGACAAATTTTGCAGCAGCAAAAAGAAATTAATATAGCAGGGTTACTAGACATAAAGAGGAAGCCTGCCCAGGAAAAAGCTGTTTAAAATAAACTAAAGCTACTAAACTAACTCTATTGTTATGTAGATGCTTTAATAGGAGCTCTAATGCGCTCTGATCATGCTGTCGCGATAAATCATCTTCGTTTAATTCACGAGTCTTTAGATAATTTCTAAAATTATCCTCACAACGAGAAGGCAAATATAGCAAGTTCACCACAAGATAATTGTAAATTAGGTCATTATTGATTTGTTAGAAGAGGATTTTGCCGGTCGTTAGCGTGGTACGATAAGAAGGCACTAAAGTAAGGCTTCAATAAGAAGGCACTTAAGGTCCATTTACACGACAGAATGGAAAAGGAGTCAAAGCACCGGTGAATATGGCTCAGTTACCCAACGAAATGTATCCGTACTGGATCATTTTTTTTTTTGACAATCGTACCACTTTTATCGCAAGTACTGTCGTGTAAATGATCCGTAATTACTGAACAAATCATTACATGTTAAAATGCATAGAAGGTATTTTTAAAAAAAGAAAGAAAGAAAAAAAAAAAGACCAGAGATTTTAGAGAAGCGTCACTACATTTGGTGTAAGAACTTTGATATCGGCCGGGAGTGAAACCGCGACGATACAATTTCTTTCAATAAGTTTTAAAAAGGGTTTCATCGCCATTAGCCTAAAAAGCACAAATTTTTATTATCATGTAGTTTTCCTGTAGACTTCTGGCGTCATGAAACAAGACACGCAACAGCAGCTATTTACAGAACACACATTAAATCAGCTGCAAAACATTAAAATGCTTCCTGTTACGACGCTTAGTTGCAAACAACTTTCCATTAATAGATTTAAGTTGGTCTTGAAGTCAAATTTTACTGGTTTCGGAAGTTCGCAAACTTGCAGGTAGCGTAAGAATACATAATTAACAGCATAGCAAACTCTGCGAGGAAGTTTAATGTTAAAAATTTTCGCCAGAATATAATCTCTTTTAAAATTTCGCCCCAAATTTGTCTTAACTAAACAAACACTCGCAACCTTATCAAAAACGCGCACTAAAGCGGTTCCAACATTTTCATAAATTTAAAACTTCCGTGCAAAAATTCCACTCGATTATGCCGTATGCATCAACGCAACACAGCAGCGTTAAGGGACCGAGAAGCCCTAAAAATGCACAATGTGTTCCTCTAAGCAAGGATATACCAACTTTCTCTCTCAAGTGGTAAGTTGTATTGCTCAGTAACCTCGCCTGGTATTTAAACCGGAGAGAATCGACGGAACTCTATTATCTTTATGAGAAGCTCAGGGCCCGTCCACACTACACCGAAGAAATTTAAAAACGCAGCTTTATTTCTACGGTTAAGCCTACAGTCCACACTAATCCGTCACGAAAACAGAGCTTTTCGAGAACGCTCTTCAAGCCGGAGGAATTTTAAAACGCCGGCTTTTCGTTTTATGTAGACGGAAAACATCTGGAAAACGAAGCTTTTCAAAAACGATGACATCACTGTAATCATGTGATTCCCCTACCAGAGTTTTCCTCAAACAAAAATCCAAAATGACCGGTGATTGTTGCGTTTTGTAATTTCTCCGGCGTAGTGTGGACGGAAAACGTTTGATGCGTTTTCAGAGTGAAAACGCCGTTTTCAAATTTCTCCGGCGTAGTGTGAACGGAGCCTCAGAGATCGCGATTTCGTGATCACGAGGAAATGAAAGCAAATAATTGTTGACTGCAGTCGACTTAGACCCTTCTGTGTAAAAATAATCACCTCCGTCAGTCTGGAAAAAGAAATCGTTATCGCACATTAATTTGCTTATCCCCGAACGATAGTCATGAGTTATCAAATCTCCCCGCCCTAGATTAATGACGAACACCCTATCAATTTGCAATTTGCTGTAAATAAATTTATTCTCTTCACGTAATCTTTACTCAAGCAAGTAAAATAGAGAGAAACACATATTAATAGATTGCGCTAGTTTTAACCCAAGTGAGTGTATGGTTAGGAATCAGATCTTACCTAGATTTTAGACAAGCCTCTGTTTTCAGAAAATCGTAACTAGAGGAAATAGCGTGCCTTTTTATCCTGTATGATAAATTTACAACAGAATGGAGCTTAGGGATCGGGTTGCCCGAACAATGAGAAAATCGTTTTGTTGAGCGAAAATATATCACATCTCAATTTCAATTTCAATTTCACATTTCCATTGCAAGACTTGCAAAGTTCAGAAGCGGTAAGTTACATCATTTAAGTCACGAAGAAATTTAGGATCCACATGAAGCCTTTTCCGACGCCTCACGCTTTGCGATCGCCCTGCCTTGAGGATAGCCTGTCAACAGGCACCAACAGAGGACGCGAAAAAATTCTGCGAGTGAAACCCGGCTCTTTTTTTTTTTACCTTCGCTCTATAACCCAATCGGAGCCTATTAAGAGGCTACCTTGAGTAAGGGACTAAAGCCAGCTCTTAATTTAACCTTACCTTAGAGTCAGAAACCCTCAACAGAAAATTAAAGTTCTCGACGAAAGAAGATGAGGAACATTTTTATAAACTTTGAAATGTTCAGGGTCGTTTAGTCGCCGCTTTGGTTTCGCTGTCGTGCCCTAACTACATGATGTGAGAAACACGTGGGCAGGGCTAAGATTTTAAAATAGACTTCAAATCAATAATGATTAATAGTTATGCATAATGTGTCATTTGAATTATAGTCCTTCATATATCAAGACGGAAAAGTTAAATAATTGAAGCTGATATGGAATAATTATTTCCTTCCGCAGTGGAAGCTTACTTGTAAACTGTAAAGGTAAAAAGGAAAAATATAAAATGAAATTTGTTTTTTTTTTCCTGCGTTCGAGACCTCTGAAATTGATACCTTTGGGTTAAAAAGGGCAGCTCGAAGAAACTTCATCTTCCCAATGGGCGCTTTGTCAGTTTACATATTGCAACTGGAGGATTCAGGGACTGAATGTTCTTTGTTGTCTTCGTTTTATTTTAAAAGATCGACCAAGAAATTATGAGAACAAGGGGGTGAATGGGACAATATTATGCCGAAGTAACGTTCTCGAAAAGTTCCTGACAATGCCATTTTCGGTTGACAAGAAATTATATAATATTTTCATATTTTCATATGCATCAAGGATTACAGCACCTGCAACACTCACGAAAACCTACTAAGCACGCAATATCATTGAAACTAACCCTGCAGAGCGAAAACTGGTATCATCGCTCGTGTCTTTGTCTTTCTATATTTTTTATTTTCGAAGAAGTGCAATGGCAGCGATTTCGCGAGGATTTTGTCAAAATATCACGCGACGAATGGCTCGATATTAAACATATTCATTTCAAACTTTTCTCCAATTTTGAAGCACCTGCAACATTCGCAAAAACTATTCGAAGCAAATAGTGTTGGGGGAAATTACTTAAACAAATGTTATTTCAATAATTTTGTCGCGTCATGTTCAATTCTCTTTACTTGCCAGAGATCGAGAACTCGTTATCTTATCCAGTGGGAGCGCGGGCTCTGGTACTCTGGAAACGAGGCTTGAAAAAAAAACACTACTCAGTCGGTTTTTCTTTAAGATTCAAATTAGATGTACAGGTTTCGACCATTTCCGTAGAGTAGTCGTTATCGGCTGCCCCTTGTATACGATGGTTGAGCCCGCAGTACCTGTGGCAGTCCGGCAAAACCAAGCTGTCCTTCCGAAACAAAGGATAATAGTCTTTTTCTTCGCCGCTAACAAATAAACACAATGCTGAAGCTGCTTTGGTTTCTTCTAATACTTAAGTTGAGAATTCTGGGTTTAATTTGACGTGTAACAGCATATTTTGTTCAAAATAACACAACTATTATCCTTTCATACGACAGCGATCGAAGAGCGAGTTGCCGAACGCGGGAGACCCATTTTTGGCGCCAAATTGGAAGCTTGGAGACAAAATGTTTCATCTTGAGTAAAAATCAAAAACAAACTGTGGTCACAAACATAACAAAATAACGCATGTTGTAACAGCCTTGATATGCTAGGTACCGGTTTTCCTTATTAGATACTAGTCTTCTCGTTTAAATTTATTGTAATGCAGCTAACCGTTTTATACTTCTGACGATGTATGTAGAAGCGTGCGAAACGTTAAGTTCTCAAATCAAGGTTTTTACAACATGGCTTGTTTTGTTATGTTTGTAACCGCAGTTTGTTTTTTATTTATGCTCAAGCTGAAATGGCCGAAGAATAAGAGTTTCTAAAATGTTTCATATTTTTCACTTTTTTACAATCTGATACGGTTTTTTGGAATTGTAAATCGCTTTTCGTGAATATTTAATGCCATTTCCAGTGAAAACAGTTGGCCTTCTTCTGTCAGTCGCTTTCCTGTCAACATGCATTTGACATCAGAACAGTACAGTTTTCTGCTGACGAATCCTGATTGATCAATTCAAATTTTAGGCGGACCACCCGTATGCAAAGCCAGGCTGCGTATTCAAGAAAGCGGCTTCTTTAATATTTTCTCAGCCAGCAAGTTTTACTCATTTTTGAAACATTTATCAAAACAAAGTTTATTAGTTGTAGCGTCAATACGAGGCAGAATGGACGGAGGAATCCAGCAAAAGAGAAGATTGACAGATTTAAGGAGGGGGGTTAATAGGGGTATGCAAATCCGCCGATCGGTGCCTTTTTTTCGCCAAATCCGTCTATCCACCAAAATTTTTGTTCAAATCCGATACCACAACCACATCCGGAAACAGAAGTGTAAAACTTCAAAGGCAAACTGGTAAATGTGAGTGCCATTGATAATTTCGCACAAATAGTAAAGAAGGCAATATGCTTGATGACTATAACACAGTACAATTCCAATAACAGTCTCACGCCTGAATTTAATGAGCTTCGTTCGAAAAAAGAAATAATTTGGATGAACTCATTAGCATACCAACCTAGGCTGAAGATCTATCTATGATCCAAATTCGTTTAGGAACATCACGACAGGCACAATCCGGAATCCGCGCCAAAATTCACAGCTGATCCACGATCCACTGTGTTTTCAAAATCCGCGAATCCGCTCGATTTACCGCAAAAATCCACAATCCGTGCKCTTTTTAAGGCCAAATCCATCGATCCAAAAACCTTTTCAYYCCCCTCTTTAAGARTGAAGMACTCGGGAGTTTGCTATCCGATATATATCAAAGGAACTTAAAATCAGAAACAAGTATCAGTGAAAGTCGCGAACATGTTATGCGCATGTTTTCTAAATGGTGAAAATGTACAAACAATAATTAACCTGAGTGATGTTATTGGATAATGCAATTCAAGAGTTTTCACTGGCTATGAAGTCATCATGGTAGATTAGCTATTACACCATGCTCTACAAATCATGTATGGTAAGCGTGTCGTAATTTTTGGGGCGGTTTGATTTTTATTTTTTTCTATTTTTCTATATTTTGGGGCATTTTTAATGAAGCAATTATTCCACTCGCGCTTGTTGGATACGCGAGTTATCATGTCATATCCAATGCGCCCTCGTGGAATACACGTAATTGTTAATTATATCAAGCAAGGACCATGGAGAACTACTGGAATTACCCCCTGCTGGGGATTAAATTTGTACTCCCGTCCGGGCATGGCTGGGGGATTGTCCTCCTATCCCCCGGTTGTAGCTTGTCGTCCATCAAATCCTGGATCTTCTGAACTGGAAAGGCAATAAGTTGGCGTCATGTTGGATATGTTCTGGTATATAACGGTCATACGTCGTCGAAAGATTGATGTTTCGTATTGCATGAGATATATCTAAGCTGCAGTATCATTCATTACAATGCTTTATCATCACAAATCCTTGATTTTCCACACAAGGATTACTGTGTTTATTGTCACTGCAAGAAAAATATCAATTTTGCTTTAGGCCCTCCAATAAGCGATGCTTTAGCCAACGAAAAGAGAGTTAATTATAAACAGTTACATTTTTCATGAGTAACTGACAGAATGTTTATACAGGAAAAGCAAGCTTGAACCGTGCAAAGCTTCTACAAACAATACTTCGAAGAAAAAATATAAAGCAAAAGTAATTTGTTTATAGTCGAAGTACAAAGGAAAACGAGATTTTATTGCAACTGCTTATCAGATTAACAATGAAGTATCTCTGTATATCAGTCCAATAAACAACGCCAGGCGTGAATTCGTCACTGCTGTCGTTGGCACTTTGAAAATCACTTATATGTAAATATGCGGTACTTTTTAAATTAACCGTGGTTTTTTTCTAAGCATCTGAGTGGGAGATAAGTAGTTTCCTAACTAAGGCTATAAATCTAGGGTAAGACAAAAACAATCACACAGACTTGAGGTTATAATTGTAAACAACATCTTGTGTAAAGCTCGTTGTGAAGAA